CACCATTTCAATTATGAGATTTTTAAATTTTGCACTCGTCATTGTTACTGTAACTTTATCCAAAGCAAAGAATTTGCATACTTGTGTTTGTACTAAACTAAATTTTTGGATATTTTCTAATTTTAAAATAGATGAAGTGTTTCTACTGTTGTCTTTTTCATTTACTTCTTGTAGAATTTTAGGATGCAGACGTTGCAAATGTCTTTTTAGATTACTTGCTCTTGTAGGCGCATTTTTTTGCTTCACATACATGTTTGCCATCATCATTTTCTACAATGCATTTACACTGATAATATTTTCCATCCATTGTAAGAGTATAATATTCAAAAACTGCAGACTTTGAATTTGAAAACACTTTCTTTTCCATTGTGAAATTGGGAAAGGGTAATTAGGTATCTAACAATATTTAAGTATGTAAAATCAGATATAACTCTTAAAAATAATATGTAGATAAATATAATTCATACTTACAAGTCACAAGTAAAATAATCTGAACTTGAGAATCGAAGTAAAAACCCTTTAAGTACTTTTTCTGAGTTAACCCAGGTTGGACGAAAAGGACGCAAGTATGAATCCTGAATCGGACAAGGAAGTCGGTCTCCCTCAGAGAAATAGTAGTAATGACCAAACAGCACATGTTCATATTGGGATTATTCCTGGAACTACTACACACCTTACTAGAACACCGATTCCCCTTGAAGTCTACGTAAGGACGTCCCGCGAAAGTTCACCAAGCAGCTGGCTAAAGGTCAAATAGTTGTAAATTTTGGAGACCCCAGTGTCTCCTTACAACTTGTTTTTAATGCAATAAAATGACAAATAAAACATCTCTAACGATATATTTATTTTAAATTATTTCATATTATTCTAATATTTTTACTATAAAATCGCGTTGGGGGTGAAATTTTTCGCAGATACTTTTACATTTTAANCATTGTAAGAGTATAATATTCAAAAACTGCAGACTTTGAATTTGACAACACTTTCTTTTCCATTGTGAAATTGTGAAAGGGTAATTAGGTATCTAACAATATTTAAGTATATAAAACATAACTCTTAAAAATAATATGTAAATAAATATAATTCATACTTACAAGTCACAAGTAAAATAATCTGAACTTGAGAATTATAGTAAAAACCCTTTAGGTACTTTTTCCGAGTTAACCCAGGTTGGACGAAAAGGACGCAAATACGAATCCTGAATCGGACAAGGAAGTCGGTCTCCCCCCAGAGAAATAGTAGTAATGACCAAACAGCGCGTGTTCATATTGGGATTATTCCTGGAACTACTGCACACCTTACTAGAACACCGATTCCCCTCAAAGTCTACGTAAGGACGTCCCGCGAAAGTTCACCAAGCAGCTGGCTAAAGGTCAAATAGTTGTAAATTTTGGAGATCCCAGTGTCTCGTTACTTGTTTTTAATGCAATAAAATGACAAATAAAGCATCTCTAACGATATATTTTAAATTATTTCATATTATTCTAATATTTTTACTATAAAATCGCGTTGGGGTAAAATTTTTTGCAGATATTTTTATGTTTTAATTTTTTTATGGAAAACAAAAAAAGAGAAATGCCGGAGTCAGAGTCGACACATTTTTTTCCGACTCCTCTAGCCAGAAATTCCCCCCGATTCCGACTCCACAGCCCTGCTGTCAACTATACAGAACTATCATAAAAACATACCAGTAAACTCCTATCAGTTGGGTTAAGTTATAAATCTACTTGTGATTCACATAATGGGGCAAGGGCAGCCAAATATCTAGAAGGCATGCAGCTAACAGCCCAGAACCGGTCCTGGATAGAATCATTCGGGACATTCCAATTTTCAACGCAAGTGATGAGTGTTGAAGTCAACAATTTGACGTCATCAACGATGTTCCAACTTGAGTACGAAGTGCTTTGTTCCCATAATTCCATTCTCAGTAAGATGGATTCCATTCAAATGTCTTACCAATTACCCACAATTCATTGGAAAGTAGCAGTCAACATATCTGTTGAGTGCTTAGTGTGTTGAGTCAGTGCTGACAACAGTGCTACCTCAATGTTGAAAAAAGGAATGGATTTTAATGAGTGCTGAGTCAGCATTGAAAATTGGGGTGTCCCAATAGGAAGCATTATATGATATTTTGGTGTGTAGCATCCACCAGCTAAACCGCGTGAGGTTGGAGCTCTGTAAAGCGCATGCACGAATGTGTATAATCTGGCTGCTTGGAAGCTGTCCCATATTCAACAATACAGCACTTCCATTCTGCCACTGATATTCAAATATACAATAGCAATCTTATTGTTTTTTTCACATGTACAGTAGAGCATCGATTATACGACTCAATTGGGGAATGGGGTTGGTTGGATAACTAAAAAAAACATAACCAAAAAATATGAAAAAATACATTATTAGTATAGTATATTAGTATATCCCATGTAATTAGTATATTGCTATTAACCTACTTCGTGTTGAATTTTCATCAATGTTAAGCCTAACAAAAATTTTTTAAAAATAATAATCGTCGCTATTGTATCATTAAAAATTAGAAAATTAAGTCTCGTTTAAATACTGGCTCCCTTTCATGGTTGAGCCAATGTTTCCAGCTAAAACACACAAAAATACTATTAAAGTAGTCAAGACAGCCAAATATTGTAGCGCCACATCACTAGCGAACATTTGAATTTGCTGACCAGAATGCGGTCGGTTAACCGATGTGATGGTTGACTGGGGGTTGGATAATCGATGCTCTACTGTAGTATAGAAGTTTGCAATAAGATACATAATACGGTTATAATAAAATATTAATTTTAATTAATTCAAAGTATGTTAAAATATGAAAATAATCACACAATGTCTTTATATTTTAGAAAATACAAGGGAAGCAGTGCTTCCACCACTTCTAAGGATGGCATGCCACTGTAAGATAGTCATGTCATTCACAACCATTTTGAATTTTNTAGAAATTTGTAATAAGATACATAATACGGTTATAATAAAATATTAATTTTAATTAATTCAAAGTATGTTAAAATATGAAAATAATCACACAATGTCTTTATATTTTAGAAAATACAAGGGAAGCAGTGCTTCCACCACTTCTAAGGATGGCATGCCACTGTAAGATAGTCATGTCATTCACAACCATTTTGAATTTTTACATTTATACATTTTTACATTTATACAATTTATACATTTTTACCTATAATACATATGGTGAATCACAATGAACACAACAATGTGCAAACTACTCAATTCAAATTTAATGAAGTTATGTAATGCACACACAATATAGAAAACAAACAAAAGGTACAATTGCAGATGTGAACGATGCTGTTGGGACCTTAACAAAGCTATATAGTAGGTCAATATGAGCAAAAAAGCCAAAGGAACCATACCTCTAAATGTGACCCTTTGTGAGATATAGCTCTTAAAATCCGTTACACATGATTGTGAGCCATGCCACATGCTCCACTAAGACTATCGTGTTTAACTATTTAGTCCATGCGACTATGCCAGCTTTGAGTAGTCCACTTGACTGTTTGTATTTGATGTTATATAGTTTTAGGGAAATGTAGGGTCTTGTCCCACCTGGGTGCTAAGGTGCAAGCAATAATGAGCACCAAAGCACACGACTATATGCAGAGCATCAGTCAAGGCGAGTGACAGCGAGGCTTGATGAGGTAGAGCAGGGGTGGCCAACCTTTTGCATACCATGCGCCAATTTTTTGATAGACGAGTTCAGATGCGCAGTGGCGTACTGTGGGTGTTAGCCGCCCGGGGCGGAGAAAAATTTCGGCCACCCTTTAATCAGGTATTTCAATTTAAAAGATCAAAATTCAGTTGTGTGAAAAAAAAATTAATAAAAAATGCGGTGGTGGTGTAGTTACCCGTACAAAATAGTCCCGTTTGACATTAGTGGCATACACGATTGCGAATGTATCGTGAATCGTAGAAGGAAAAAAAAAAAAAAAAAGGTCAACAGGTGTAGCAGTCCAACCGACTCGTGGACTGTCCAGACGGTAGCACTGTCATTTAGACGCCTATGCACTGATCGAAAATAAACATACATGCATACACTGTAATTTACTATGTGGAGAACACTCATTTTATCTGTAAAGTTGATTGCAACGAATTGTGCAACAAATGAACTTGCCAAGACAGACTATAAAAAATTAATTTTCTATGTAATATTCTTAATTGCAAAGAAGCCAAATCTGGCAATGTTGCTCAGAACTGACTAAAGCGCCACTTGTAATCGTCCAATGCGCCAAGTTTGGCGCATGCGCCACGGTTTGGCCACCCCTGAGGTAGAGCATGGATAATAGTCAGTAATACTGGTTCAAGGTAAAAACTGTTTTCGGTCAGTAAAAGTTAATGCATTTATTATTTGTTATAGACACTGATCTCAATGCCATAACATAACTTGCTTGCAAGCCGTGACATCTGCAAGCAAGATGGTGACCAGAACTGCAGCTGTTGGGTTCCACATTTGGATGAAAATATCTTGCAAAGGGTTGATGTCAGACTTTTCTTTATTCTTTGCCAATAAATATTAAAATGTCTGATTACCATGTTGTACTGACTGTTAAACACGTGATAGGCTTACCAGATCATGCAGCGTGACTCCGTACAGTGCCTGAAAAGTAGGCTTTAGGCTGATTTTGGAGGGCTATATCTGGCAAAGGTTTCATTTAGAGAGACATGGTTCCTTTGATTTCTTTGTTTCTACGGACATGCCTATAGCTTTTAAGGTCCCAACAGCGTCATTCACATCTGAAATCTTACGAAAGAAAAAGTATTTGTTCTATGTAATTTATATCCTATTGTTATTTTTAGTAGGTTTAAAAATTCAAATCTCCGAAACACGTGTCAGATCAATGCTTTTTATATCTTCAGTGTATGATCACACTCAATATCCTCAACAGGCTAACAACTATCTACATCTGTCAGCGCAAAAGTTTTAATAATATATATATATACCATACTAAACGAATATCAAAAATAATTACCACTTTTCGGATCTCGAAATAAATCTAAAGACCTCTTCACTAACGAAGACGACATATTTTTAACGCCACTTACGCCCTCTAGTTATTAGAAGTTCATCAACAAGATTTAATATTAATTTTCTGTAAAAATCTTATTTATTTTATTATATAATATGTCATTAGCAATAAAAATATACTATATTATTTATGTAGTATATTATATATTATATAGTATACTAGTAGCCTGGGACGCCCACTAGTGGGCGTTATTTACAAATTTCCATGAGGCACGGTTCCTTTGACTTTTTGTTCCTATCAATATGCTGTACAGCTCTGTTAAAGTCCCAATGGTAAGATTTACCCTCCGAATGAAGAGGTGGCGTCCCTCCTAAACTGTAGCCCCTGTGCGAACAATAAAGTCAAAGGAACCATACCCCCAGCGTTGCCAGATCTGATGGTTAAAAAGTAGCGTGGTTGTGCTCCAAAAGTAGCGGATTTGAACTGTTTGTAGTCCAAACAATAAAAATGAATTATTTTGCAACTATGCACTTTTACTAATGAAATAAGTTTGTAATATATGTATATACATACACAGGGTGTATCAGAATGACGTTTTAAAAATTTGGGGATTGTAGAGGATGAAATTTTGAACGTTTTGATATAAGGAACCTACAGCCGGAAATGAGATACGTATAAAGTTTCTACTGCACTTTGCACGTTCTATGAAGTCGGTATGCTGAATGAAACAGCAGAATACAGTATTTATGACAAGTTTTATCGACAAAACAGTAGAGTACAATCAAACTGTACATCGAATCAGTGGCTGCACTACTTTAGAGTAAATGTTCAATGTGACGACCACCAACTTCGTTACATAATGTGCAACGACGAACCATGTTTTGTCCGACTCTCTGTAAGATGCCACGCTCCCCTCTGATGGTATTAAATGCTGTAAAGATGCGCTCCGTAAGCTTATGAACTGTTCCTACAGGTGTTGCGTACACAAGGGACTCACGTTGACTAGCTGTGTGTTTACATCACAACGCCAGTGGATGCAAGGGGTGACCTGAAGAACGACAAGCACTGAGTACACAACGTCCTGTACACAGGCTCAGTTAGACCACTGTAGTTGTGTGTTTACAGTCTTTCATCCGCAGCAATAACATGACGTCAATGGATGGAAGGGTAGCTACCAAAGTGAAGGGCGGTCAAGCACTTCCTACCGCTGTAGACACTTTAGTTCAAATTTCCGATTATAGGTTCCTTATACCAAAACGTTCAAAATTTCATCCTTTACAATCCCCCAAATTTTTAAAACGTCATTCTGATACACCCTGTATATGGACATTCGGTGTATCTGCATCAATTTTCTCTAAATCAAAGCGAGTCATTCGCAGGCGAGGCGATTCATTTTTTGAACTTAGAGACTTAGCGACTGCGGCTTTTCTTTTCAGTTTTAAGGCCATCCTTTTCCATTGTATCAAGAACTGTTGTATCAAAATTTAATAACTTTTGGATCACTTATTGGGAGAGAAAATTGGCAATTCCAACAGCATAATGCTTGTAGTAGACAATCCACAATTTCACAAGCAATGTCGCCTCCGTGCTTGTGAAGTTGTGGATTGTCTACTGGAGCGAACGACTGATGGAAAACGGAAGCAAAGTATCTTAATCTTTGTTAAACGTTGCAACTTTATTTATATACTTAAGTGTAATGAAATTAAATAAAACTTTATTACTTTTGTATAATACAATAAGTGTTTTGCGATTTTATATATGAAAATAAAAAAAGTAGCGTATTTTTAAGATTTGTAGCCTGAAGATAATTATCACTAGCCCAAAAAGTAGCGTGTCGCCCAATTTGAAATTTTTGTAGCGAGGGCACTTAAAAAGTAGCCCAATCCGCTACTTGTAGCCCAATCTGGCATCACTGCATACCCCTACTCGCGACCCTTCGCGAGAATAATAAATTAAGCCCCTGAAATAATAAATTCCTATTACAAATATACTGAATTATTTATATTGTTATATTGACCAAATAATAATTTATGGGCAAAATGAATAATAATAATTTATATTGTTAATTTAAATAATAATTAAAATTGTTAATTTGAATGTTTGAAATATGACACACGATAGGGGCGCTCTAGTGGGTAAGATTTACCCTCCGAATGAGGGGGTAGCCACCTCATTCGGAGTCGTTCCTGAATTGTACCGTAACCGTTTGATAACGAACATTAGAGTGTTCGTTATCAAACGGTTACGGGACAGACGGACACCCGTTGAATGGGTTATATATATGGTAATATAAGGTAATATCTTTAACTATTTCAAACCGTATCATCTTACGTAATGATTCAAACCTACCCGGCTTTTCGTTATTCGCCCCCTAGTGAACATTACATGCATTCCGTGACAATAATAAATTTCCTATTACAAATATACTGAATTATTTATATTGTTATATTGACCAAATAATAATTTATTGGCCAAATGAATAATAATAATTCATATTGTTAATTTAAATAAGAATTAAAATTGTTAATTTGAATGTTTGAAATATGACACACGATAGGGGCGCTCTAGTGGGTAAGATTTATCCTCCGAATGAGGGGGTAGCCACCTCATTCGGAGTCGTTCCTGAATTGTACCGTAACCGTTTGATAACGAACATTAGAGTGTTCGTTATCGTTATCAAACGGTTACGGGACAGACAGTTGGATATCCGTTGAATGGGTTTTATATATATATATAGATTAAAATATGCACAAAACATTTTTAACAGTTTTTCAAGAAAACGAGAAGGTAGAATCTCTTTGTGCTCCGAAAAAAATCTATACTTTGTAACAAATATTTAAAATATTTTAAAATATTTTAAAAAATCATAACAATATTTTAAATATTGTTATGATTTTTGCATATATTATGTAGAAATCAGGCCCAACAATGGAGCAGCAGGTGGTAAGGGACGAAACTCAACAGACTGAAGCTGAAAAATTCTTGGAGAGTTGCTCTTCCAGATTTGATCCTGGAATCCCTAAAGTAGCAGGCTAACGTCTTAACTGCTTTGGTCATCCAGCTTCATTAAAATTTTATGATACAGATTTTGATCCGATCCTCTGTACAGATTCGGGCTTTGCCTTCCCTACCCTTTCACCGTAGGCCGGATGGCCGAGCGATCAAGGTGGCAGCCTACCACTCTGGGGGACTCGGTTTCGAATCCGAACGGGTCGAAAAATCCCCAGGAACTTTTCGGGGGTGGTCCGTTCGGATATGTCGGGCCCCGTCCGTCACCATCTGGCAGCCCCATTCTGGGTTTGGCCAAACCCATAATGGGCTTACAAAAAGAGGCCTTCTTAGTGCCCACAGGGCGGAAAGAGTTAAAAAAACCCTTTCATCGTCCTTAACTTTAACACGATTGTTCAAATGTTAAAGTTAGGAAGCACCGGACCCACCTTTTTTAAATTATATAATTGTAAATTGAATAAAAAATTGAAGTTTTTGATATTTATTTAACTTCTTGCATCTTAATCTGAATCGAAAATAAAAACATATTTTAAAAATTAAATATAATATCCATTCAAATTATGTTTTATCTCAGATATACAATAATAATATTACGATGCATAAAAATTAAAATTTTAAAAAATTTAAATAATCTTAAAATATCCTAATCGTTAAAATGAATTAACGAAGAAAAATTTAAAAATTACGAAATACAGTATTTAAATTCTGCGGATTAGAATAGACGCGTAACAATCCATTTCGACAATTGATTCCATTTAATAATGGGATCAGTTCGCTAAAGAGACAAGAAATTCAAATAAAAAATATTTTCAGAGGATTTCAATAAAATGTAAGTAATTCTCAATTACTTTTATCTATTTCTTGTGTTTGCTTCATCTAGTTGTTGTCTGTTAGTTTCATTAACATCCGATGTGGACATCAACTTTTATCTAATTATGGATTTTTATTCAACAAAATGTTAACGTACTGATTTTATCAAATTCATATTTTCGTTTTTTAAATATATTATTGTTATTATGTGCTGATGCATTGCATCCTACTCGGATAATAGCGGTGACCAGTTCTTCAGGATCAAGATTAAAGCTTAGCTACAGAAAATTCATTGTGATTATGTACTGTTCGTATATGTCATTCGAGAATTTTTATGTGACATGTATGACAACAATGAATTTGATAATTGTTTTGTATATGATTATGTCTTGCTATACAGTGGTGCTTCGTATAACGTACGTCTCGAATAACGAACGCTACAAACAACGGACTTTCTGTTTGGCCGTTACGTGACTTGAGCAACAGACTGGCTGCCAGGCCCGCCGTAAGCGGGCGTGCAAGGTGTGCACCGCACGCAGGCGGAACGTCCAGGGGGCGGAAAATCGAGCGATCGGTCACGTAATATTCAAAGTCATTGTCATAATACCCACCCTACCTTTAGCATAAGAAATGTCTTCGCATGGAGAAAAAAATCCGACCGGCGCGCAATTACTATATTCTTATTTATATTATAGCGTTAACAGCGCCTCTATTGGCATTTATCAGAATTAAGATGCAATGCGAAACGTCTGTCGGCAGGTTGAACCATCCGGCGGCGCCCGAAAGCCAAGTATCCATAGTCGTGCTCTATGACAGAAGTTGACAGGACTGGCGAAAATAGGGAATTCCCACAGAGCTTCCTTCTTAATTTGTACTTGTACGCATTCGAACAGTTCTATCGCATATCAAATTGCAATTATTTTGTTAATAATTCTTCTGGCATGGATCTAAGTATAATTAATGAAATTTTAACTTGGTTAGGATTTAAATCTGAAGTTCAAATTTATAGATTTTTTTCTACTTTATAGAGCTCTCTGGCGACGACTAATATTTTATTACGATATACAAAACTGTATTTCTAGATTTTTCTACAGTGTGCAGAGCTATAAATCTGTAAAGGTAACATTTTGTAAGAAAAATAAATCTGCCCGGGGGATTCTTTTAATTGCTAAATTGCTAAATAGAAAACTTGGTAACTCTCGAATAAAATTTTGGTCTCGTGTAAAAGGCGTGCAGAAATTCTGACATAACTTTTTGCTTTATAGTGATACGCATATGTGTTGTATACCTCAACGGCGGATTAAGCGGTAAGCGAACTATGCGGCCGAGAAGGGCCGCGAAGGGGCTCCCCCGAGGTCTTTAAAATGCTACTGAAAAATGGCTGATTTTTCCTTTCTATATGGCTCTTCTTTACAATACATGAGTGTTGCTGATTTAAAAAAAAATCAGCTGCAGATCTCGCTATTAAATATACAGTAGAACCTCGATTATCCGCCCTAATTGGGGACTGGGGTTGGTCGGATAATTGAAAAGTCGGATAACCGAAAAGTATGAAAAATCCATTGTTAGTGTAGTATACTATTATATCCCATGTAATTAGTATATTAGTATATCGCTATTAACCTATTTTGCGTTGAATTTTCATCGATGTTAAGCCTAACAAAAATTTTTTAAAATAATAATCGTCGCTATTGTATCGTTAAAAATTAGAAAATTAAGCTTCGTTTAAATACTGGCTCCCTTTCATGGTCGAATGAGTGTTGCCAGCTAAAACACGTAAAAATAATATTAAAGTAGCCAAGACATAGCCAAATATTGTAGCACCACATCACTAGCGGACATTTGAAATTTGCCGACTAGGACGGTCGGTTAACCGAGGGGTCGGTTGATCGGGGTCGGATAATCGAGGTTCTACTGTAGCAAAGATTTAAAAAAAGTACGAATTCACAAGTGAAATTGAAAGTTTTAAGTTTGAAGTAACGACTCTTATACAAAATATAGAAACTACATATCCGCTTAATATTCTACAGGCTCTTCATGAATTTGGTTTTATTGAGTCTTACCCAAATATCAATGTCGCTCTTCGAATATTTGCTCAACTATCCCGGCAACGTATAAATTTTGGTGCCGCCATCTGTTATCATATTTTATTTTAAAAACTTGTTATATTTTTAACTATTACAAAATGGCAAAAAGCGTAATTTTGAGGGTAGGGATGAGTTTCATAAAAAATTGTAAATGATAATAACGAGTAAAATCGTCATTAAATCCGATCCTAATGGAGATATGACACGACCCTCATTATCACCCCACTCCCTCGACCTTTAAACACCAAAATTTAATAGCATCAATCCTCCTAATAAACAAACCTTATTGCAAAATTTCAGAAATTTTTGACAAAAAAAGCACAGAAGAGTTTCAAATAGAGTGAACGAAATCGCCCTCCCCGCACACTAATATCCATACATACAGAAATTACCTCCGAATTTTTTTGCATTTCTCGACGTTTCAAGGTGTCATAAGTCCAAAAACTGTAAAAATCTGGGAGGGGTCATTTTTGCCGGATCGCCATTTGTTACTTTCTCTCTGTATAACAGCATTTCTTTTGTCTTGCCCTCGATTATTTGGTTAAATTTTTGAAATACTATTTATAGTTACTTAAATAATATGTATAAAAATAATCATATTCACATAAAAAAAGTACGAACTGCAACCCGAATGTGGAGAGTGACGCCCGGAATTAAGCCGCAGAGCCTCTAGTACAGTAGTTCTCGATCGTTTAGCTACCTCATATTGATGTATCATGAAGCCGTTTTAAATTGTGCTACAAGATGAATTAATGCATTTATTTAAAAATTTAAACGTAATAAAATGTGTTATCAACCATATTTCTAGAAGTTTGTAACAGCCGGCTATCGTAGAGATGGTATTAGAGAGAGCTCCGCGATTAACCTGTTCATCTTACCTCAACCTTCGCGTGATTGTTCGTGCGCCGCTAGTACAAAAACTGTTGGGAAACACTGATCTTTACACTGTGACCTTTGACTTAGTTTTATTTTAACTATAGATGGCATAGATATATGTATCGAAGGAATTTTAATTTTTACTGGATGTCAGCGGTCAATTTCCTGTTGCACTTTCGGTGAACGTTGTCTCCGGAACAGGATACTTGCATTATTAATATGTCTTATATATAATTTCCAGATATATTTGGCGCGCGACGCTACTGCAATTCTAAAGAAAAACACTTCCCAGAAACACGAAATGAAATTTTCTTAACCTTTTTCGAAAAATAAATAAAATCATTAGAAACTTTTCTTGTTTTTTTTACCTTAGAAGCAATGGGACTAGCAACATAACGGATGAGTGATACTTGACACTTGTATGTGCTTAGAGAAGAGACCAATTGACTACTCGTTTTGTGACTGTGTGAGTGTAGTCTGCTGAATAATGTTATTAAACCTTAAAATTAGAAATTTTCCAGATGTCTTTTCCTTTGCATTTCCATCAGGGCCGGATCATCGCATAGACAAATGAGACAAATGTCTAGGGCCCAGTTTTTAGAAGGGCCCGGTCAAACTGTCTATTTTGAAAAGATTTGTAAATAAGATAGTTTACTTTTCTGTTGGACAACTGTACATAATAAACAAATAAACAAAATTATATTGCTTTTTATATGGTTATTATGAATTCTAAAATCTAAAGAAAATGTGTTCTTATGTTTCTTCTTATTGAAAGTAATTCTTTTGATAATTTAGAATTTTTTTTATAGCGATAAGAATAAAATTAACTACAAGATGATGAGCCCGGCGTTGCCCGGGCAAAAATAACAACAAAGGTTACGATTATTAGATTATTTCGTACTTCTAATCTTTCTATTATATTATATTACTAGCAAATGAGCCCGGCGTTGCACGGGCAAATGATTCGGTAAATACTGTACTGTAATATTGTACGTTTGGAAATTAAGTTATTTCTATCAAAAACAAAAAATCGCATCTAAAATAGTACAGTAGTAGCCGTTTTTCAGCTTAAGCCTTAATCCTCTTTCTCTCCCCCCGCGGAGGAATTTCCAAAAATCCCTTTTTTTAGTATGCATTTTCATGATGTACCCTAACTGTGTACCCAATTTCACCTCTAGGTTCAGCGGTTTTCTCTGGGCGATGATGAATCAGTTAGTCAGTCAGGACGTAATTTTATATACTGTATATAGATAGCCAGTTGAACGGCCCGATGCAGGCATCAGGGCATACTAAATAGACATTCTCAGTATTAAAACGTGTAAAAAATTATTTACGAAACTCACTGAATGAATCAAAATTAAATTCTTTAGCTGTTTTATACATCGAACAAAATGCTTTGAATAATATTAATGAAATAATTGATAATTTTGCTGAATTAAAGACTATAAAACAGAATTTTTAAATAAAGTTTATTCATATTTATATACTTAATTTTTTTAAACTAACTTGGCTTTTAATTTAAATTATCTTTTTCATTATTCGATTAACCTTTCATGGGTAAAATATTATATTATTTAAATATTAACCAAAAAAGGTTAAATTAAACAATTAATAGGCCCTATTTTAAGGTAATATTGTTATTGTATAATAACTTTTGTTAGACATTTAATAAAATAAATATCAATTTTTTAAAATTTATAAACAGACTGTTCAATCTTTTCTAGAAAAACTAAAATTTATTGTTGTATATTAAATATTTTTTATTAAAATAAACATTTAAGTTAGTTTTTCGCATTATTTAGTTTTGTTTTATTTAGTTTTGCGTATTATTTAGTTTTGTTTTATTTATTGTTTATATTTTTGTGCGCTCTATTTCTTGCGGGAGAGAAAGGGGGCCTGGTAAGAAGAAAATGTCTAGGGCCCCAAAGTGGGTTAATCCGGCTCTGATTTCCATCACCACATTAATACTCCACTGATAATCAAGGTTTTATGAACGAAAATGAAATACAGGATAAATTATTAAAATTATTTATCATAAAATGTTCATTAATAAATAATATTTTTATTAATTAAAAAGAAAAACAATAGTTATGCGTAGAGTTTCCTAAACATCATGAAAGCTTCTCTGAAGTTCAATTATCTGTGAAAATCGGTCTTTGTCCTGCTTCTCTTTATATTGGCATCGGTGGATTTTTCATATAATAAATAAATAAATAAAACGAGAAATCATCTCAAGTATTAATTCAAAATTTCAGGTGAACTTCGGGTAAAAACTAATAAATTAAAGTAACATGTAAAAATAGCACACCACAACATTCTTCCATTAATTTAGGTAATAGAAGATTCTAAATTTTCTCATTGATTTCCAGTAGATTTGAACTATCTGATAGTGATTAATTTCTTCAGCGTGACTGATCTCAAGTGAGCTAGAATTAAACTCGGTTAGTGTAACAAAGTCCTGATAATTCAGTCTACAGTGTCAAACTCAATTATTAATACTGAATTTAAGGCTATTCATGATAAAGATGACAAAGGAAAGTGAAGCACTTAGGAAAACAATAGTATAGAAATATTTTTACAATTTGAAATAAACAGGATAACTTTAGGAACAATGATAACTTTTATATTTGTTTTAAAAATCGTGAACATTTTTTTCTCCTAGAGGAGAAAGCATTTATGAATGCAGTTTGAGATCAAAATAATGATATTAAGCTACTAATTGAAAATCTGAACTTTATAAATATAAATATAATTAATAGAATTTAAAATGTAATGTTTTTAAATTGAATTTTAAAGATTTTATTATTGTAAAATTTTCTCGTATTACCTCGTATATTCATAAAGATACTTTTAAGCATGGGATCCAGAAGCATGCAGAAAACTAATTAATTATAATTTGATGTTTTAAATATATTGAATAAATAAATAAACTGGGCGTAAAGTGCTTATAGACTGTTTAGAAATACGAAAGAAAATATTATCAGTACATCTTATTTAACTATCTAAAAGTGAATGATATAAGTTAAATCATTATATAATAGTTTTTAATCCTGTAAAAATTCAGAGAAATCAGAGAAAATATTTATTTGAAAAATGGAATAAATAGATTTCCAGATATTATCAATACATCTGAGAATGTAAGTTTATTAGTAAAATAGTGTTTTTACATTACAGTAAATTAGTATATAGTGTATTAGTATATTTGATTTTATGTATGTATGAAACACAGATAAAAGTTGAATGACAAAAAATATTGACACTATTTGTTCGTTACTACAATACTTTAAATGAAATTATATATAAATTACAGATATTCTCAGAAACTGATATTAAACAACAAATACTGTTTATTATAACAAAACATTTGCTTATTTCATTTATATATTTCAAAATATGCATGCAAAGACTTCATTACATAACTAAATTAAAAAATTTGCCACCATTACTAATTCAGATATTATTGATTATTAATTTAAAACATTAGAAAAAATGAAAATTTTTTGGTTTCATTTATTAGTCTACTTTAATTTTTTATTTATATTAATTTAAATATTTTAATTCATTTGAATATAATTTATAGTTATGATACCACATTATACTTTTTGTAATATTATATAAATCTACATTGTAGACTTTTTGTCAGGTCATACTTAAAATATTATCATAATAAAATGAAACAATAGACATTTTATTTTATTTTTTAATATTACAGATTTATCAGATTTCATACTTTTCTTACTATAAAAGAAAGAAAAACTAATTCTAAATTATAAAGTTTTTCTTATTTATTTATTGTAAGACTTACAAATTGAAATAAATTTAAACGCTTTTACTTTAATTCAATGATATTCTTTCCTTCTTATTTCTATACTTCAAATGAAAAGTGAAACCGTGTATGTTAATATATTGAATTGTACAAAAAATTCATTCTAAGTTAATTATTACAATTAATTTAATAATTTTTTTCATAATAAAAATGCAAAAAATTATTAAAATGATCTTTTCTTTAAGTTGCTTTAAAAAAAACAATTCTGAATACTTTATTAAAATAATAAACAAATAAATGAAATGCTTTAATGAAGTTTGATAGCTTATTGTAAGCAATTCAACTTCATTAAAACATTAAATCATTGTTTAAAAAGTTCATATTATTTATTTTTTTTTTAGTTTTAAAAATTTCGTATTATTATTCAATTTTAAATAAAAAATGCACGACTTTTTATATTTAATAGAAAATACTTTTTGATTTATAAACAATTATTATTAGAAAATCTTTAATGTTGATTTCTTATGTATATTTGCACAAGCAAATGCACCTTTTACATATAAGTAGAAAAATTTATATCTTACGACTTTAATGTATATAATATTTCAGGTTTATATTAAATTTTCCTTTAAACTTTTAAAAATATTCTTTTGATCCTAATTTTTATTATGTATTTCTAGTTTATGTGGACTCTAATGAAATGTCAAAAATAAATTGTTGTGTGGTAAGTTGTTCCTAACAGGAATTTAAAGGAAGAATCATCAGTCCAATGCTCCTTGAGTAAAGAACTTTACATTTTATATGTGTTAAATTATTTATAACTGCAAAATATCAGACATGATCCTTTTAAAATCAGATGAGAAAAGAGGACGACAGGAAAATCGAGGTCGTATCTTTTGTTTATTAAAACTGGTCATCATTTTAAAAAGTTCATCAACCGTTATCAGATTCGTGAGAAATCGCTTTAATTACCCTTAAAATAAGAGTAAATTTTAAGTTAACAATGTTAAAGTTTTAATTGGAGATTAATTAAAATTTATTCGAATTTCAATATTATTGTTAGACTATTGTTAATATTATCATTAAACTTTAAAACTTGAGATGCAAATTTTATTTAAAAAAAGGAATAAAAAAGGTGATAGATCATGAAAAAGGTCTAAAAATTACTCATAAATATCTATAAAAGTAAAACCATCATTTTAATGTGCATAAAGGTATACAAAAACCCCGTAAAATTTGAAAAAAAAATGATGGAAAATTCGAATCAGCCAGTCACTTTGAAATATCATCCATCAGTTTCATAGTTTACAAACATCATTGGGCTTGCAGACACCCAGTCATTCTACATTTTTCATGATCAGTCGCAGACGACATGAGAAAAGTAAGTTGTTGAACTAAAAAAGTGATCTCCTCACGTCAACAGATATTTGCATATTTGGTTTTCACTAAAATTTTAGGTTTTGTGACTTGACTGTGGAGACTTAAGAATTATATTTTGCATATACGGGTTTTTGCTCAGGAAATATTACACTTTCTCTAAAGCAAATCCACTCAACTGCTCAACTGGTTTTTGGCATGTTTAAAAATCTCCCACTGCTTAGATAGACTGCTTTCTTCAAACAGAAACTGATCTGTACAGAAACTTGTAAATATGAACAATATAGAGTTCTTTTAACACGTCTTTAAGACATTTCGGCCAGTTTATCAATGAAAGCTCCAATGATGCGAAATTCAATGCGTAAAAATAGACACTCAAATTCAGTTCCCTACCCTGTAATAACCGAAACACCCTGTTCTTATATGGTAATGCATTTTGGGAGTGGTAAGCTCGTTATCTTTTTATATAGATGTATATTTGCAGGACATTTAATCAAAACATTTTTCATTTCTGAAATGAAATCGTTGGTTCAAGAAAATTCTGTCCAAACTGCTTCACATACCCTGTTAAGGCAATGGACAAGACAAGTGACTTGTGTCGGATTCGATACAACTTTATATTTGAGCATGCACTTAGCACATATGGTGCCTGGTCTATTACAAGTAACCAAACTTTTTCATACGGAATGGCAGAGTTCCACAATTTAGCATATGCATTATTGATGCCCTGCACAACAGTTGTAGAATATGTCTTTTCTAATTCGTAAATTCTTAACAGTATGGGTTCTGGCTCACAGACCGACTAGAATATTCAGCACGTAGCACCTTTTCTCACATCCTTTGTTTTATCCAAAATTTAAAAAAATAATAATAATAAACTGGGTTGTTTCCTATTATTACATATATATATATATATATTTAAAGTTGCTTCATATGCAGGTTGCAAACAGTTTTCATAGCGTGCTTCGGTCAGGAATTGAGCGCTTGGTAACCTATAGACTAATAGACTTCTTTTCTAGGAAGTTTTTGAATACAGAATGATATACCTTATTAAGAGCAATCCCTGATTGTATTAAACCTGCAGCCATTCATTCCTCTTGCTTGCATTGTCCTTTGCAAAATTTAATGATGCGAAAATAAAACTCTGTTCCTTCTTTACGTTCCTCTTTCTTTCCCTGTTGGAAATATGTTTTACATATTTAATGTGCGGCTGAACTCGTGAATAAAGATACGTTTCATCCAAATCTAAGATAATATCATGCAGTTTACATCTCAAAATACTATCGTCGGTCGTAATTCCTTTGTCTTTAAAATTATTTATTTGGCACTTTTAAACCGAAAGTTGTCGTGTCACCATCACACCTCTTCCTAAACTTCGTGAACAATGAAATCGTTCTTATTATTATATATCAGAGGAAGGTTAGACTGAATATTTAAAAATAAAATTTTAATTTAAAATTAACTGACATTGATGAGTTTAGTTGTTAATTAAAAATTTACTAATGTTAGAAATTCAAAGTTATTTTATTTGATTTATTAATTTGATAAAATACCTTTTAAATTGAAACGGAAATAACTTTTAGATTTATAGACAATTATTATTAAATTTTTTGTGTTTTTACTATTCGTGATTATTTATTTTATAAATAATTAAGTAAAAAGTGTTAATTACTCGAACAATTAATTTTAAGGAAAAAAATTAAAATTTCACTGTAAGAACCAACTAACTTTACATCGATAATGGATGACCTCATTTTAGTTATTTTGGCATTTATGACATTTATGACACAATTGATCAATTTTAAAAATCTGGAATGTGGCATCGTAATTTACGTCAATAATTTTTTTTAATTGTTTTTTCCTTCCTATTTTCAGTAAATAAACTGTAAAATTTAAGTGAAACTTTTATGTGTTTCCAGTTAAAATCACAAACCGTTCAATATAAGAAAGTTATATTTAAGTATTTTATGCAGTACCTTTTAGTGCTTAGCATATCAAATTATTCAAATATTAGAGTTAATAAAAAAAACTAATAATTTAATGTAAAATTTAAATTTTTCTGTGTTTAGATTTAGCAAAAGCAATATATTAATAATAATAATAATATTCATTTTATATATTGTTATTATTATTATTTTTCAGAAAAGTTTTTAACAAGATAAGCGAAAATCATTATGGCTTAAATATTACAAGTTGTTCTGACAATTAAAAGAAAAAAAAGGAATGTTTCATAAATGAAAATAAGGAAAAATTTGAATTTTTCCCCCCTCCTATTTGGAGCATAATCGGCAAAAAACGAAAACACGTGTAGTTTTATGTCATATCCTGTAAACCGCGTTTAGGTCGGAAGTTCGTGTGTTTGTGTAGGACAATATAGGTTTCAAATACTCAAGTAGAACATTATTTTACTTAAGGGAGAAAACAAGACAACAACAAAGGATAAAACATTACTGCGATCAATACATTTGTATTAAATCTATTGATGTGTATTTAGTTTGATTGATAAATATATATACATAGATAATATTTAATTTTTAATTAGTTATCATGAAGTTCACGTTTTCTTCTCATGTGTAAAAGAAACAGGTGATCTAACTTGTAAATCGAGCTATGAAACACGAATATAATTAAATTTTTCACTTTCATTCTACTCCAAATAATATATATATATATATATATAAACTTATTTTCATATTTGGAAGGAATCATCATTCTCATACGTGATCCTATAGTGGTTCTATTTCATAATGTTATAAGGACTGTATTATAAATAATGAATATGGCATATTTCATATTTTCATGACTATTTTGAAATATAAATTAATAAATGTTATGATTTTAATTATTATTTAAATGAATGTATAGACGTTTAATTAAGATAGTATTAAACGTCTATACTATATTAATTAAGATAGTATTACAAATAAAATGTATTATTATTATTAATTTAATAGTTTTGAAGTTATCATTTTAGCTCGATACATTACTAGACGTATAATATATCGTTAGTTTATTATAATATTCTGTAGAATCTTAAAATTAAGATTTTATAACTAATAAAATAAAACAAGTTATCAATATTTTATAGATTGCTTATAATTTGGTTTTTAAATCCTATTGATATTAACTTAGTTTTCTGAGCAACCTAAAAATTCTTTTGAATGAAATTGCTAGATTTAAATTACTAAAAAAAATCTAATGTTTAGGGAAAAATTGTTTCCCTTTATAATTTAAAGTTTATGTTAATCTTAATACTATTTACATTTTACGGTTTTGGCCCCAGGCACATACTATTTCGAAGTTCTTACTTAAGCTAATAAAAGTTCTATTATATTTCCTTAATTTATTCTTTTTATCTTTACCTTTTTCTTTGTAATTTTATCTTTTTTCTTAATGTACGAGATTCTTATGAGCGATTAAATTTTTCATTTACTCAACAAATATGCTGATTTAAATATCAATATTATATTAACGGCGATTGTTATTAAGGAGTTGTGTTAATATAGAATTAAATATATAAATTTAAGTATAGAATACTTAAAAAATTTTCATTTTAATATTACGTCCCATACGTAGTCATTCCAAGTAATAATGTAGAAATATAATAATCTAAAGTTAATAAAATGATTTGAGATATATAAAAAGGAACATTTCAATAAAATAAAGTCATTATTGAGAAAATTACGTTGAAATTATGTCAGAAGTAAAGAAAAACTACTTTTACAAAATTTCTTTTCAAGTAAAGAAGGAATTTAAATAGATTTATGAGTCAGCGGTTTCTTTAAACAGTCGATATTCCAGTAGGAAGAGAATTACTACTTATTTCTAGGATGAATTGGGTGGGGTGAATGATCTGTTAAAATTGATACTTCTGTTGGAATGGTTTCGAATAAGGAACAATTCAGAAATTTTTAATTTGTGTATGTTCCGCTTCCTCATTTTATTGAAATGATTGTTTAGGGAATTTTATCGCAGGGAGTGGGTTTTACAACGAGTCTTAAACGTCATCATGTTATTATATAAACTGTAACACGCATGCATTTACAAATGAGCAAAAAAAAAAAAATTAGATTATTATAATAACCATAGAAAGACAGTTTAATATTACGAGAAAAAAAAAATTGAATTTAAAAAGAATGTAAGGTAAAAACATAGTTCATTAGTGATTACAATGAAAAGTAAGGGAAAAAAAAAGAACGAGAATCAGAACTCGACATGCACATTTCACGAAAGAGTGCACTTTTGAGAATGACCCCGTTCGAAGGATTTTAAAAATGGTCGAATTCATTTTTGTCCTAATTTTGTGTATATTTTAATTATGAATTTATGAGAAGGAAGGAATATCCATCACTTCTTAGATGTCGATTGTTTATCTTGAAATCGAATTCTTACTTGGTGCAATTGCTAAATAGTAGACAAAAATCATATCCTTAGGGAAAATTGGTGGATACTTGAAATTTTTTTAATAACCTTATTTTTTGTTTCTCATTAGATATGCCCGTCTTATTTACTCGTCACGCCCATGTTAAAATATGTTCGTAAATAAAATACTAAGAGATAGTTTTATGAGGAAAAACTGAATTCCAATTCGTAAAAAATAAATATCGTTAGATTTAAATAGATTGGAGAAAACTCTTAAGAAATTAATTGGTTAAAAACATTATAATCTTAGTTTAAAAAAAACTAATTTAAAAATCATTCATAAAAAATGTTTAGATGCGAGGAAAATTTTACTCTTCGATGAAGTGTTTAATATCCAAGAAACAAATTTTTCCTACAGGCATAATGTCCTAGATGTTGCATTTACGTTTATGTAAATTGTAATTACTTCAATTTTTTATGTATTAAAATTTTTCGCGACACAATATCAACATCACTGTTTGTCATTGTTACTGGTAAAGATTTATGAATGTCCCAGATTTGTTAGTTTTATTTATGCAAATGAATTTGTCCCGAAGTCATTGATGCTGCGGTTTGTTAATTTAGAATCATCTTGTACTGTAATGTACCGAATAAATTATAGAATACGTGTTTGATTTATATAGGTTCTTCACGTGCTGTTACATTTTCTATAAATGGATCAAGCATTATGATGCTAGGAACGAAAAAAGTTCAAACCCACACAAATTACTTACATTTTGGTTAATAGGATAGAATTAAATTGCCAGAAATAAAGTAATATTTTAAATATAGATATTATATAGGCCTATATCTTAATTATAAGATTAATTAATACTGTATTTATACTGATAAGGTCAATATGTATAATTATAAAGCAAGTGAAGATAGTAAAAAAAGATATAATCTTGTAGTTGTAAGGAGATTCATTATTACTATATTAAATAGTTGATAGTACAATACTAATGTGAACTAATTAAATGAGAGCTATTAGTGTCACTAGAATAATGAGTTCATTCAATAGTGGGCTAATACAATTAATTTAAAAGAAGCGGAATCAATTAACGATCCAAATTAGTTTAACGAAATAGTTGTTTAAAAAATGAAAATATTTAAAAAGTTGTCCATACAGACTTTGAATTAATTTATCATTTTTAATAAATTAGGCTATATTAATATAGCGTAGAATAAAAGTAGAAATATGAGCAAATCAATGTAAGTTAATTAAATTTTTTGAAAAATTAATGAAAAGTTTGATCAAAAAATGTATATAACTATGTTGGATATGTGAACACAGCCCAATAAATAGGCCCGAAATTAATATATTTGTACAGAATCGGTACAACTTTCTTGTAAACATTTTAAAAAAGAAGAAACTGTGTCTTGTGGTGCAAATGTGATTTGATCGAGTAAAAAATTAAAAAAACACGCGATTATAAAAAAATAGAGCATCAACAAATCAAAGAAAGTAAAAAATTTTAATTGTTTAATTTTAATTTAATTTAGATTTACCATGTTCTAAATAACTTTCAATTATATAATTATTTTAATTTGAAATTGAAAATTAAAATAACAAGATTTATAATTATTTTTAATAATACTAAAAATATAGAATAATAAAAAAAATGATCGCGGTGTAGCCTTGGACCTAACTTTGAGTTTGATCGGAACCTTAGAAATTTTCATGAATAGTTTGACATAGGTATGTTGAGTTCCATCCCTCATTATCCACTCCTCCTTTAGACTTTGCTAAATTCATGATGAACTTAGAAGAAGTAGAAAACATCTCTCTTAATGCCCGCAGGACAATAAGAGTTAAAAAACAAAAGAAAATCTAAAATTATGATAGATAGACTGAAAAAATTAAACAGAAAACGAATTTCTTACAATAATTTCTTAATTTATTTATCAATGAGATCTGTTTGATAAATGATATCGTAACCAATAAATTTAGTGAGCACGGATATTATTATAAGTGTAAGTTTGATTTCAAGTATATTTCTAAACACTCTCATATCAATATTTGAGTTTCTTTCTTTTTTTTTTTTCTTACTGGACATTTCTATCGTCCATTTGCCTATTCAAATTACATTAATGAAGTCAAACTGATTGGATAAATTCGTTAAAATCTAACATAATTTGTAAGCTTCAGTGACAAGTAATTATTATTTGAAATAATTTTATGTTTGTGTATTTTAGATGATTAAATTTTAAGAACTAAAATAAACTTCGGTTGGTTAAATTTGCATGCAAATATCTTTCTTATTTCGAAGAAATTTTTAATGTGTTCGCTTTCACTTTTTTTTTTTTTTTTTTTTTTTTTTTTTTTTTTTTTTTTTTTTTTTTTTTTTTTTTTTTTTTTTTTTTTTTTTTTTTTTTTTTTTTTTTTTTTTTTTTTTTTTTTTTTTTTTTTTTTTTTTTTTTTTTTTTTTTTTTTTTTTTTTTTTTTTTTTTTTTTTTTTTTTTTTTTTTTTTTTTTTTTTTTTTTTTTTTTTTTTTTTTTTTTTTTTTTTTTTTTTTTTTTTTTTTTTTTTTTTTTTTTTTTTTTTTTTTTTTTTTTTTTTTTTTTTTTTTTTTTTTTTTTTTTTTTTTTTTTTTTTTTTTTTTTTTTTTTTTTTTTTTTTTTTTTTTTTTTTTTTTTTTTTTTTTTTTTTTTTTTTTTTTTTTTTTTTTTTTTTTTTTTTTTNAACATGTACATTACTGATCATATATTAAAATAATAATAATAATAATAATAATAATGCCATACTTTATGCTATGCCTAAATTTTCAATAGCACTTATATCACATTTAATACTTTTGTAATGTAATTTTTAAAAAACTATATCGGTAATTTATTGTAAAAATCATAATCTTTAAATTAATTTTTAAATGAACTATAAAATTTGAATATTTATCTAATTAATAATGTTATTGAACAAAAATGTCGATATGTAATTAATTTGTTTAAAAAAATGATAACATTAAAATGATTCTGATTCATATTTAATATTCATGATAAATACAACGATAATATATGTGTATATATATATTATATATAAAGATACAAAAATTATTGCATGTACAAAAATATCCTAAAATCAACGTTTCTTCTGGCCTTTGTCTTAGCTAGCTGTACAGTAACATCTAAAATCAAGTTCTTTTTCTTCATTTTAAGTGTTTCATAAATATATAATGCTAAGACACAACAGTGAACTTTCAAACAAATTTCTGCTTTCCTTCCTAGTGATCACAATTTTTTTTAGTGTTTTTAATATATTAATATATGTAAAATGGTCAAAAATTAAATAAAATATTTTCAACTCACTGGCGAAGGAAAGCACGAGTTCTGCATTTTATATAAATAATAAACTCTGAGTTTAATAAAAACTTCATTTTCGGTAGACCACTGCGGGCTTGCCTCCTCCGAAACCAACTCCTTTTTCGAGAACCACTCCGAAAACTACTTTACCGTTTAAGTTAACTCTGGGTTTAGGTAAAATAGGGAAAAATATATTCTTGAGAAGTCCTAGAGGTCCAAAAGGTATACCGTGACCTCCTCCTATAGATACACTTAATCCTTTACCAGGACCCACACCTCCACTAATTAATCCTAAACGATCTGAATCACCAGAGGCTTGGGCTTCGCTTCCTGCATTGCTGCTATATGGTGGTGGCTGAGGCTGCTGAGATTGTGCAGTACCTTGTTGCTCATTGTAACGAGCGTATTGTTGCTGAGCATCTTGGGTGTACTGCTTAACATAGGTTCTTTGAGATGAAGAACCTTGAGCAGGTTGCGGCGGATAATATTGTTGATTTCCTTGCTGATTAGTATATGTGGGTTCTCCATTTCTTTGAGGACTCGAACGGCTCGTTTCAGATGCGTGGATGAAATCGGCATCTGAGTTACGAATTTTGGTTCTCTTTCTGGGAATTTTGCGCTCTACTTCTTCCTCTTCTTCTTCTTCATCGTCGTATCTGACTTTCTTTCTGGGTTTTGCATTTTTAGCAGGACCTAGGCCATCGGGCATGGGTGCAAAAACTACAAACTGAGGGGCTCCTTTTCCTTTTGATCCCGAAGTTGAAATTATTTTAGATAGCAAATCGGAGACAGAAGTTGATGTGGGAGTAGAAGAAGTAACGGCAGAATCCTTAGTGGGTACAAAGTGAACATAATAAAGGGGATCTTTAGAATCTGCTGCATCCTTATCCGGTTGTGCAGGTATAGGCTCATTATTTAATCCTGGCGGTACTGAATTATCAGGATCATCACGAGAAATAACACGAGCTTGTTCATCCCCATCCGGTACCGATACAGTTAAGACTGATTTTGGATGAAAATCGGCATCGCTTCTTTCTTCTAAAACAGGAATTTCGTATCCTCCTCTGCCATTCTGTAAAAATTAAATGTTAAATTAATTTAGTAAAATCGTTTATAGATTAATTTTATGCTTTTTTAAAAATTAAAATTATATAATTCTAGATAAACAGCCACTGATATTAAAATATTTATAATTATTTTTAATAATGCTATGTTGAAATTTAGCTAGGTCAGTGTAGGCTATACAAGAAATGTTTTTTTATATATCTATATTTAAAATTTTTCAAGAAATAATTACAATTAAACAAATACAAAGAACAAAATAAAATCTACTTAGAAAAGAAAAGAAAAAAAATAATAAAAAGATATTAATTTGAAAACCTGAAAATCATAAATTAGAATTAATGTATAATATTAAGGTTACAAAAATGTTTTAAACTGAGATTTCTATTTATCTGTCTCTTAATCTGTTATAACTGAGAAATTCGATTTTATCACTGCAAGCAATAGACAATAGAATAAAAAACAAAATCAGCTAGAGGAAGAAATTGGATATTATGGAGGAAAGTCGTGCTACGCCTTGAATCGAAGTAACCTACTTAATGAAACAATAAAACTTCATATCCTGATTTTATTTATACGAAGACCTTTGAAAGTAGTTCTAAAAGTAATTATCAAGTATTTAATATTGAAATTTCGCATCTATATAAAGAATGTTCCGTTAATACATTAATATAAGTGAAGGTTATTTTAATAAAATTAATATTTCGAGTTCAATAAATTAGAATTTTAAAAATAGAAAGAGTTTCTCTTAGAGTTTTTATTGCGAGTAATGTAATTAAAAGTTTAGAGAGGAATAATTTGTTTTCATGTTATACTGTAGGAGATATTTATAAAGCCTTAGGCTAAAGGGAGATGGTGAATTCGGTCATTTGCTGAAGTAACCCCTTTAACAGACAAAACTAGATCAAAATCCTCGCCAATGAAACAGGAACTCGATTTTACTTAACCGGTTCTATCCTTTCAAAGAAATGGATTAAGATCGATGTTTGTTAGTTATTTGTTAGAACAACGTTACTTGACTTTTAAGAGTGAATTAGAAACAATAACAATGAATTGAAAATTTCAAAAAGAAAGAAAATAATTATTAAATTATGCTGAATTTAATTATAAAATTAACATAAGTTTGTAACATAATAAACATATTTTAAAATATAATTTTATCTACTAAATTATAAGATTATAACAATGAAAAGTTGTAGTCTATTACAGTATTAAGAATTGAATAATATAATGTATGATAATGATATTCACTTTAAATTTCATGGAATACTGTTTATTATTTTGAATAGGCTATAATTCTAAAAATTAATTTAATCAAATCAGAACTTACCTTTATATTTAATATAAAAGTTTATAAAGTTCTGAATTTTAAATTAAATATTTCATATAGCTTAGTTTATATATTTTTATGAAAGTTCAAAACCTATTTTCTGGTTCAATTGAGCTAACAATAGATTATGTTGAAAGTACTGTATTATTTTAGATAGATGTATCTATTTTAACATACACGTGTATAATAATTCTCTCTACGAGAAATTTTAAAAAATTATTAAAAATTTATTGAAAATAAATATAAAATTAATGTTAAAAGATCAAAAATTAAAACAGAGAAATGAAATAATTATGGGAAAACCGTTTGACCTATAAAGATCTATATTTGAAATTTGTTGTGAAACTAAAGAAGTTTTCAAGATGGACGAAATAATTGTCTAATAATTAATCCAGTTTATCTAAATTAATATGATGCATAAAAGTATTATTCTGTAAAACTTAAGAAAAAATTATATAGTGTAAATCTATAAAACTTGGATAGAAAAAAAAGAAATGTAAAGTGTTATCCTTCAAAATGTAATTTTATATACTGTAGATATTATTATACTATAAATATTTAGCTACATTATTTTATTTTAAAGTACAATTTAAATAAAAATTTACTTAGTTGAAGCTTCCATAAGTATGCTCTGAATATACTATTATTAATTTATATTAACATTTCTATAGTTTTAAAATGAATTTTTAAAGTATTATCTATGTAAGAATTTAAAATTATGGATTTAATTTAAATTCTTTCTAACTGAAATTATCAAGCCGACACTTTGAAATAACTCTTTTAAAAGAAGAATCACCGAAAAGAGATTAATAAAAAGTGAAATAATTGTTTTATATCTAACAATCTATTTTTAAATGTAATGTAGTTATGAATAAAATTTTCGTTAGGAATAAATAGTTACATATTTAATAATTATATGTAATTATTGAATATGTAACTATTTATAACCCTTTGAATCGCGTAAGTCGTGTTAGGGTAGATAATGGATAGGTGTCGTCGTCTGACCTATATACTTGTGCTATCACTCTCAAGAACACTAAAACGTTAACCTCTAAACTTCTCTACATTCAAAGAGTAGCACTGACCTTAATATTTAACTTTTCGTAATATTTTATTGACTTGAATGTAGAAGGGTGATTGTTTGGTGAAATGATGAAGTATATTTAATATAATACACTAGTCTCTATCAATTTCTAAAATATATTATTAAAATGAAACTTTTTAAAACTCTCCGCCTTGTGAACATTAAGAGAACCTTTATAGCAAACCCATTATGGGTTCAGCCAGGCCTACAATGGGGTATCTGGGAAGGCCTAGGTCCAGCTTATCCGGACGAACCACCCGCGAAAAATTTCGGGTTTTTTCGACCAGTCCGTATTCGATCCCGGGTTCCTCAGAGCGGTAGGCTGCCATTCGACCGAATAAAATAAATCAATTTGATATATTCTATATGAAATTATTTAAATATCTTAAAACAACTCTTAACAGAATTAATTTAATTCAATACTTTAACTGAAACTCTACATCTAACGATAATACTGGAGGGAGAAGATTTTTATTAATTTATGAATTTTTAAATTCAAAATATATGAAAAGTTATATATAAGCACGAAGAACATTACCTTTAATGTTGTTTACGTATCCACGTTTGAGCAGATACAAAACAATAAAAAAACTAATATTGTTTAATTATGTATAAAAGTCATATTTAATAGCTAATTCTAAAAATATACTCATGACATAATTAAGGGCAATTTATTTCCGTCTATCTTCTTACATTCTAGGTTTTCACAAATATATGAACGTAATATAAATTTAGTTTATGCTAGTCAAGGAAGTCAAGCAAGAAAACTCACAGTATAAAAAAAAATATAGGCCCTATATATCCGAACTATTGTGATCCGAATGAAGTCAATATAAATGTATAATCTATAGACTTCTAATATATGTTTTTTTTCAATCTTTCGATTCATTCTACTTCAAACAAAAGAGTGTTCATTATTTCTTTTATGTTACCCCCGTTTAATATGTCTAGACTAACCAGTTTCAATCCTTTAATCAAAACTTTAATCTATTTATTCGTACTTTTTCCTGTTAATAATAAGTTTGACAAGATTTCTATTTTTGGTAATATATGTGACATAAATTTTTAAAAACAAAAATTCCTCTTTTATGACAACCGAGCGCAACTTTTTATTTTTTCTTTTCTGATTAAACCTAAAATTATTCTCTATAATGACAGAAAATTTCCAAAAATTGTGCAATCTGTCTGCAAGAGTTAATAATTTTGAATATATTATAAAATATAATTAAATATAATAATATTATTATATAATAAAAATCAATACAATACATTAGCAAAAATTTAAGACTCTTTGTTCAAAAAGAAATTTTAAAGAAAAAAAAAATCGTTTATAAGTGGAAGTAAATATAGTTTTAAAACATTTATTAAAAAAGTAAAAATGTTAATGTCGTATTTAAAATATTAAGATATAATTAATATAAAATAAACAATATGCTTGTATGTTAAAAAAATTTAAATGTTATAACATACAAGTATATTGTTACAGACTTAAGAATGTCTCAAATATTATAAGTACTTCAGTTTTAAGTTCATAAACATGTGAAAAAGTGTATTTTAAACTTGAAATAATACAGAAATTTAATTATGATCGAAATGAAAATTATTAATTTATAAATATCTATTTTTCGTACATTTTTAAATGAAAAATTACTTGAAAGTAAAATTTTTATGCTTTAAAAATGTACGAAGTAATAATATATTTTCCTTTTTCCTCTAATAGAGAAATAGTTATTTATTCATTTTTTTTTAAAAAACAAAAGAAAATATTATAATTCTAAAAAAGAAAAGAAAAAAGAAAATTTAACATTCACTTTTATCTATATTCGTAACTATTTTGAGAACAAATAACAATAGAGATCTAGAAATCTATCCAAACATCTCTAGTAGTGTTTTGGTGCGTGACGTTTTGCATGGTTGCTTATGGGTCTAAAATAATTTTAATTCGATTAACTGACTATTTACAAGAATTATAATATATTAAATCAATTTATATAAAATTAAAAATTCTTAAATTTAATCAAAAGTAGAGCTGAAATGGAAACTGATAGTTATAATTTTCAAAATTGATTTCAAAGTTGCGTTATAATTATTTAATTTATTTACTCTCTGACTCATGCAAATTAAAATATGCAGAAAAATAGTTCTAATTAACTATATTTATTTTTTTAAAATAATATACATTGAATTGGATCAAAAATTATTAAAATTGACTAAGTTTACAGGCTTACTAAATATGAAATTTTTAAATCAAAAAGTAAAGTATATTAAATGCCAAAATATTTCAAGCATTTTAATTTTTAAAATGAAATAGAAAAATGTTTCTATTATAACCATAAATAAATTTATTTTTATTTTAATATTTTATATTTTGAAAAATGTAATGCAATATTTTTTATGGATATTTTACTTAATTTGTTTAAGAAGTTAATTTTTAAAAGTTGAAATACTAACAGATCCTAGGAAACTAATAAACATATAATTTAGAAGTTACAGCATCTTATATTATTAAAATTGAGTAAATTTTTAAAAATTTCCTAACAACTATACCAGATATTATCAATTATTATAGATAATAATTATTGGTAGATTGTTAGCCAAAGGTTTTTTCCAATTACAATTTAATTTGTAAAAAGTCTTCGGTATGAAAATGTTGTCAATTCAACTAAGAGACAAAAAGATTTACAAATTAAAAAGTGAATTTTAAAAATAATATTTAAGTTCTTTTTTTTTCAATTAATTAACGTGTGCATCAGAAGCTTTAAAATTCTATAAAAATAAAAAAAAATTATTATTTCTGATAGCAAGCAATCGATTTTTAGATTTCAATAGGAGTGAATGACTTATGTAATGCGATGACTTACATGTTATAGGAAACTAGATTGAATAAAATGATATGTATAATTAGTGTGAATAAACCAACAATGATTAATAAAATCTAGTTTCTACAACCGTAGAAATTCCTATATTATCTATTCATATGTCAAATCAAATGGTGACACATTAAATAATTTATACGTATATATTTTTCTCATAGAATTTCCTTCTTCCTGTATTTCCATATTTTTAAATATTTTAAAGAATTTTGTCATATAATCTCAAAATGGGTTAAATTCTAGTCATTTTTGATCTAATTTCTGCCCTTATTTGAAATTTTTACAGAATCCATTATCAAAGATTGTACTTTAAATTTAATTTTCAACAGACAATTTTGATTAAAAATTCTTCGTAAAGCGAAGAGAAAACTATTTCAGAAGTTTGTTGAAAGAAGTTTAAAAGAAGAAAAGTTTTAAAATATTTTAACTTTATGATTCAAATTTATAAACATGTTATTGAACGACATTGTTTAATACTTAGAATTTCCTTTTTTTTTGTTAATACGAAGAATGCCACGTAGAATACTTAAAAATAGATTTAACAAGGAAAAAATGTTTTCCTTTACTGAAAATTAAATCACAAACCCTTAATATTATTATTTTTTCAGAAGTATATTTCAAAAATTCCGGTTTACTGGTTCAGAAACAGATGTAGTATTTATGAAGCAGATGATTTATTTTTTTATTCCATCCTTTTAAACAACGAAAGAAAGAGTATAAAAATTGAAAAATTTGGGTCATAAGTTGGAACTGGTCCTGATCTGATTTTGAGATTTGAAAGTCTATATTTTTTCTCTCCATTTTTCTATGTGCAAACAGGAAGTATTTGGAACGAACCGGTCAAGTTTTTTGGAGACTTACTGTTGTAAAGGGAAACACTTGGGGCTACGTACCATTTGTATCTGTTGATTTAGTTCGTTGACTCAAAGAGCTAGAAACAAGGTCGCACTATCCCAAACAGATTTTACTCCATTTACATTATAATCTGCATGATGTAAATGTAATTATTAATTAATGAACTTATTGTAGAAGATATATTTTATAGGAAAAATCCGAATTTCTTTTAAATTTTTATAAACTAATGAAGAAAAATATTTCCGAAATTCGTTTTTTTTTTGAAATAAAAGCTGCTTAATGAAAACATATAAAACGCTTTAAATAACAATTAACAACAAATTAAATTTTTAAAACGACAATAAACTGTAGATACGGTTATAAATTAATATTCTAAACTCTATTAAAAAGAACAAAATTAAAAAAAAATTATATATATCGACCTATTAGACAATATTTATAATAAACTATTTGAATTTAACTAACGAAATTCATATCATGGACAAGTTATTTTTCTGATAACTTCAATTTTTCTGACGATTTATTCTACGATTTGGAGTTGGTCCAAATATAATGTAAAAGGTTAATTCCAATATTAAAGATATTTTTTCTTAAATTTTTTTTAACGTATTCAATCGATAATTTTTTCATGAAACATCAGAGAGATTATCTTTCAAAATGTTCAATTAATCTTAGAAACATTTACAATTTTTTAAATTTCTACTGATAACGTAAGTATCATTAAAAGTAACAAATTTTAAATATTTTTATAAATCTGAATGATAAAGAATTAGCTAACAATTTTCTTCAAGCTAAATAAACAGAAAACGTAGACGGAAAACACCATTAAATATAACGTATCATAATTAAAGTTTAACTAACTTTGAACTCAAATGCTCAAGGCTAATCGCATAGAATATAATAATGTATATATTTAACAATTACTTATCTCTGAGAATTAAATATTAGATTTATACAGAATATTTATGATTAATATCTTAATTAATTAATGAAGAGCTAATGTACTTTCCAAAATATGTCATTATTTTTTTTAATGAGAAAGTAGTTTTTTTTTATATTACTTGATTAGAGATTCGATAAGATCATCGCATACGTATGCATTCCATTATACAGAATTTTATATAAGAATAGTAAAGTTTTAGTTATATAGAATCAATTTTTAATAAATAAATTATCATTGTTAGTTATATATTAAAGATATTTAGAGCATAAAGATATATTTGCTATATTTTGATTATTTAAATTGAATCTTTACAATTGAAAAAAAAAATACCTTAAAATATCTTTTTGTAGCATGGTTTGTATTTTACACTTCATAAATTGTATAAATTATTTCATGTTAAACTATAGAAAAAAATGAGGAAAGTGTGGGATTTAATATCAGATCTTATTAAAGTGTGACAGTGTGTGGTATAAGGGATAAGGGTATCAAAATCGGTCAAAAATCGTGTGATGTAATATGTAAATGACCTCAGAATTCTAGTATATGGTTCGATTTCAAATCTTAAGTAACGAAAAATAATTTCTAATATATTTAATTTCGTTGTATTTAGTTGAAAAATTAATTATAATTTATATTTTAATATTTCTTTAATAACTATGAAAGCTTTTAAAAAGTGAACTTTTATAATTATATTATATAATAAAGTGTAAACTATTTATATACAGTATTATATTTAAAAAAATTATTTTAACAAGTTGATAAATAATTCTAAAGATAATTAAAATTATTATTTATTTTATATATTTTTAACTCGAGAAATACTATAAAATGTTTCAAAAATAAATTAATTTTTAAAATTTTAATTAGAAAAATCATTTATTTATTATAATTAAAAATATATGACGAGAAAGGGAATGAAGATTAATGGATGAGATCATATTTCTATTCAGGTAAGTAGGTCATTAAAATAAGAACTCTACCGAAGGATGAAGACGAAATAAACAACATAAAGTACATTGTTGGGGTCAAAATCCAGTATTAAGGTTTTAATATCGATCTATTATTAAATTATCAAGTAGCCACTCGCAGATTTATCAATTACTTCCTGATTTAAATCTTCGAAGAAAATACGATTGCACACTTTCTATGAGTATTACTTAAGGTGCTTAAGGTTTACAGCCTAATTTTATAGTTCATTAACGATGATATCTTTCTTTAGTATAATAATTGCAGATGTTTTTAATGATGCTCTTAACGATATTGAAAACTTAAAAATTTTACGATGTCCAAATTATCTGTTGTAAAATTATGATTATGTTAGAAGACACATTTCCTTTAATTTTGTCAGAGTTAATTTCTCAGAAACGTTTTTCTGGTTATAAAGAAGAATTTTATTTTGGGAATGTATTAATTACAATTTTTCATTAAATCAAATTGCAAAAGAACTTATTTAATATATTTGTTAAATGCATTTTCATATTTTGATTTGTCAACATTGAGGTAAAGGGATATTACATTGTCCATTTACTTATTTTCTTTTTTTTTGTTAGAATGCCGAAAATACAATTCTTTGAGTCTAAAATTTCAGTATTTCAATCGTTTTTCTTTTTTTAAATTTTAGTAAACATTATTTTAATTATTTAAAATAGAGGCTTTAAAAGGCTATTGTATACGAAACTGAAAATTATTATTAAAGAAAAACATTATATATATAAACTAGATACTCAAATAAATCACCCAGAAAAGAAAGAACCAATATATAAACAGCAAAGAAATGATTTTTTGTGCTGAAAGATTTCAAATTTAAATCTTTCCATAACATTACTGAATGTCTAACAAATTATGCTAATTGTACCCATAATTCTTACTTTTTAATGGGAATCTAAAACTGAAGAAACTAAATAGGCATTTCTATTGATTATTAATATTTTTGATTGTAAATTATTTAATTAAAATACTTCATCAGTTGCTAAACTTGAACTTCCTAAACATATCGGACTAACTCTAAATTCTTCAAAAGTAATTTGGCTGTAAAGACAATATTGCTCTATATTATCGTTCTATAATTTAATTAGAATTTATTAAATATTTTTAGGGAAATTTTTTAAGCAATTGCCTACTTTAAACTGGCTTTTATTTATAAATTTATTTTTCTGCCGCATTGGAAGAAAGGAAAAACTTGTTTAATTTAGTTTGTATTGAAAGGTAACATTTATATTATTATTATTATTTCTTTTATATATATAAAAAAAAGTGTACATTCTGCTAAGGAAATCTAAGAACACGAATGAAATGTGTGCAAACCTTCTTGAAAATATATAAATTAATTTTTAAGCACGAGATTAAAAGAATAAGAAGTTACCTGTAGTTCGTAAGGACCTTGTAACTTGCTTGCATGTTTATTTGGTCCCCAAACTGCTTCTGCACTAACGGCCCAAGCCACAACACCTATTCAATTAAAGAAAAAAAAAAAAACAATCATTTGCTATTTTAATAATAATAATAATAATTTTTTATTTGGAAAAATTTATGAGAAAAATAATGCTATAAAGGATCCGGTTAAAACAAAAGACAGTTTTTATAATTACCTACATTCCAAAATGCTAATTAAAAAATGTAAAAAGAAGTAAGCTTCGAGTGACAGTTTATTATATTTAAAAATTTTCCCATATAGTTAATGGACCGTTTATTATCAACGGCCATTGACATTTAATTAAACTATACAATCGATAAAATTTCTTTATTTTATAAGATAGTTTTCCTCATTTTAACTAAAACTATAAATAATAATTATAAAACATTCGTATACATTAAATTTTTCGAATTTAAAAGCGAATAAAGTTTAGCAAATTATAAACTTAATTGTTGTAAATAAATAAATTTTAAAATATTTATTATCTATTAAATAATTTGTAGGCTTTATATTTTAAAATCAACTCGAATTTTTCTTTATTCATATTAAATTATTGTTTACTATTGTTTTAAACACTTATTTTAATAATAATAAATAATGCAGGAAAACTGAAAATTTAGAACTTGCGAGTTATTGCTTATTTGAACTGAATCTTTGCGCTGATAGTTTAAATATTTAAATTCAAAATTTTTCTTTATCGGAATTATTTAGAGAATTTTACTCATAATACCAATTTCCCCCTATATTTTATGCATTAAAAATAAAAATCACTGAAGATAGATCATAAATGTTATAAATATGGATCTGTAATAGATAATATAATATAATATAATATAATATAATATATAAGTGTATCATAATTCGATAATAGTAATTATCGAATTTTGATACACTATTATTACATATGTTAATTTTCAAATGTAAACTAGACTCCTCATTAAACAATTAAACAACGTTCCAACTATGGATTTTATCTAAATATTTAATTATTACTCTATTATTATATATTTAATTTATTAACAAACTGATAATTCAGTGTTAATTTCTATATTTGATTTATACTTAAAATATTAAGTAAATCATTTAAACGGAAGGTGTTAAATTAATTTAATGAAACGTAAACTTACCTATGACTGCTGCAAGTGCAGGAAGTATCAGTCCTAGAGATATTAAACACTTCATTCTACTCCTGGATTTTCTGTCGTTAGAACTTACGGAAGATGATGTACTGCTCCTACTCGAAGAACTGGACCTCTCCGATGTTAGGAGGGAGCGTGGCGGATGATTGTTTTGCCTCATGGATCTGCCAGAGTAGCACACGTAATATATATGTCAGTGTCTACTCTAGCTCTGACTAAGAAGTGCAGCTTTCGGCCTGTTTTACATGAGCCACGTCAGCTGAAGCGTGTCTTCGGATTGGCTAGAGGCTATATTACGTCAAATTCACCTAAATATAACATAGAAACGGGGTAGCAGGTAATAATAGATCCTCCCCCTTTTCTTCTCTTTATGCAGTAAGCAGGGGGGTAGGAAAGGAAAATGTAATTGATAGTAATCTAAAAGAGAAATTGTTGTAGTTTTTTTTAGAAATGAAGTTTTATTATCGTGCTTCATCAGTTGATGCACTTGAATAATTTTTTAAAGAGGTCCAAATGATTCTCGAAATTAATGGCGGGTGATTTTAATCAAATTGTGCATTCTAGATTTTAAATTTGGAAGTTGAGATAGGATTAGAAATAAAATTTATCACGATAAATTACTTTAGTGATAAAGTCAGCTTACATGGCATTTTTCTTTTTGTTTTTAAATTTATTTTTGGTTTTGTAAAATTATAACGATTTACATTTATAAATGTGTTTATGTTTGATTTTTTTTAACTCTGAAAGTATGTTACGCATGAAAGCTGCACTTCTAAATTTTTGCAATTTAAGAAATAAAAAAAAATTTATTACTCATTTTAACATTTTACCCGTATACGAAAACGATTTTTTTAAAATAATTTTTTAAATTTTAAATTAGTGATTTATAATAACATCGACGAATATACTGCAAGAACAACTTAAAATGACACATTTCTTTCTATAATTTACATTAAAATATATTTATGTATTGATAAGAAATTCATAGGATAGAAAAAATAATTGTATAGAAAAACTTATTTGAAATTATTCATAGAATTTTATAAATCTGTATAACTATTATATATTAAAAGAAACGAATGAATATTATTTATATAACTTAAACATTATTAGGTGTATTTAAGTAGTTTACAGTTTAGTCAGAACAACATAAAACGTAGATAATCAGAAAATATGGCTTGACATTTGTTATATTTAGATTATCAGATTTAGAATATCACGCAGAATAATCACTGATTTAATCATTTTAAAAAAATTATATAGTTACAATATTAGCTTTTTTTTTTTAGCTTTTAAACGTTACTTCTTAGTTATTTAATTTAAATATTAAACAATTGCTAAAATAGATTTTAAAAGTAGTCAATACATAGAAGAATAAAGATAAGAGAGAATTTTACTTACACAATTCTTCCTAATACCTCACAAAGTTATGACAATAAAGGGAACAAAGTTCTGATTATAAGTCAAAATTATAGGAAAAATAAATTATGCCACTAAAGTATATCGTCTATTGACATGAAAAATAGTTTCATGGATTTCAAGCATGATTTCTATGTTGTTAGTTACGAATGAGAAAGAATGGAGTTTTCTTTTCCATAAATGAAAGAAAATCTAGGTCTCTGCGGGATAATACCAGAAAATAGAATAAAATATATTATTAAAAAAAAATTCTTTGTATGAAATTAAATAGTATTTATTTTAAAACTTTATTACGTGAAAATTTATGTTTATAAACTTTATAATTAATAAATATATTCATTTTTATCCTTCTAATAAGATAAATTTATTAATATTAGATCAAAATATTAATAAGTATCCTTCGTATGATCTCGATTTCTTAGTCGAAACTGATTTTTCATGTTTAGAAATTATCGAAAATAAGATCTTGCTTTTTGCACTTTGTTGAGACTAACTAAATTTCCTTTTACTGTCTTCAGGTTCAGAAATACGAACCAATAAACTTGCTTAAAATGATTATCTTTGATTTGTTTTTTTTTATATATAAGTCTAACTGCTTTTTTTATCTATTAGATTATCAAAATTTGCCATAAGTATGTTTACTTACTTATTTTAAAAACTTAGCATTTGTTATACGTTTACGAAAGGATAATATTTTAAAATAAATAAATAAATAAATAATTAATTAAAACTTTATCTACTAAGTTTCGTTATAAATTTTGTTTTAGATGGACCTTTTCTTAAGGATCTACGTGTATTTTCTTATATACAATATGCATAGACTTTATTAGTCTAATGTTNACGAAAGGATAATATTTTAAAATAAATAAATAAATAAATAATTAATTAAAACTTTATCTACTAAGTTTCGTTATAAATTTTGTTTTAGATGGACCTTTTCTTAAGGATCTACGTGTATTTTCTTATATACAATATGCATAGACTTTATTAGTCTAATGTTAATTATAATAAAATAGGATATATGATATTAAACAAGACGTGTAGTGCCATATATGAGTATAGTTAAGAGGCATAATTTATGAAAAAAGAAATTTAATGCAAAAAGTAATAAGTGATATTAGAAAGATTAGTAATGATATACGGAATTAAAATCAGGACGGACAGTATCTGAAATTTTAAACAAACTTGGAACAGACACGAGGATAAGGTTAATAACTGAAGTTATCTGATTCAATGATATAAAAATTTATCGAATGCAAACATCAGTAATAATAATATTTATAGTAACTTAGAACTTAATAAATAATTTAAACTATGATCGAAAGCGAATAGAAAGTTTAGGCTAAGTGTTAAAAAGTTAGACGGGTTTTTTTATTGAGAAAGAAAATAAGAAAAATAGAATATAAAATGAAATTTAAACTTCGAAATTTTAGCAATTATATTCAATTAGAGCTAGTTATGAAGCTATGAATAGAAACGGATAAAAATTATAATCATTAAATGCCGAAAGGCAGAATCAACTGATTTATGATTATAAAAGCTGTACTGATTATAATAATACAGCTCTATTTTATTTGTTTATAGAGTGTAGGATATACTTCACTTGCCCAAATAAAAATTAAAACTGTATTTTTTTATTTTTATTTAAAAGAAACATCAATCAAATCCTTGGCCTTTTAATACTAAACAGTTTATGTTAGAAAAAAATGAAAATACAGTATCAGTATTCGATTAGAACTTTTGATAATGTTTATTTTATAGGTTACTTTAAGTGAATAAAATTTTTTACTTATATAAAAACGAATAGTAAATTTTGGCCTAGATTAACCACCCAAAATTTATAAAAAAAAAACATATTTTTTCGCGTAAATTATCTCATTTGATGTCTTAGATTTAAGTAGAATAACAGCAATTTTATGTCAAATTTAATCCCACACAGACATTCTATAACGTCAATAAATAATAATAATATAAAAGTTTTAATATATAATAATAATAAAATAATCTAGATTTTAATATTATTTATTTTTCAGTATAAAATTATTATATTTTTAATAAATAGGAAATAAATTTTTGAGAAAAATTTAACATTTGGCAAGATTAAAAATAAAATAAAATAAAATAAATTGTATGTCAAATTTATCTATTTTTTTCTTTTTTGATAATGAAGGAAATTTTTTCTGGATGGATCAAGATGAATGCCGACAAAAATTATCCTCAATTAAATTTCATTTTACAGGAAATGATATTAACAAACTGAGAGTATATCATTAAAATATTTTTAAAACTTTATTAAGAAATGTCATAATAGATATTTTCAAAGATTTCTCCTCTTTTGTTTGCAATTAAGAATATTTCAAAAATGGATCTTAATGCTTTTGTTTTTTTCTGCATATATATTTCTTATTTATGACCCCATTGTTTCACTTGATTAATCTAATTGATATTTACTCTCGATATTCTAAAACTTTACGATTTTTACACGAAGTTAATGGAACCCACTTTTTACTTTATATTAAAAACAATACAGAGATTACCAAAAAACAATTAAATTCCAATGATTATTTATACTGTTAATATAAAAATAAAACCGTTAATGTTTTGGAATGTCAAATTTATAATTTTATTATAAAATAATTATTATTTGTTAATAATATATTATATTATATATAAAATTAAAAGAAATACTCAAAATTTTATAAAATAGAATATTTCTTTACTTTAAAATTTAATTATTATTAATCTCTCTATTGCATTTCTACAGCTGAAGTGAGTGATATCGAATTAGGTTAAAGAAAATTAATTTATTAACTATAAATTAAACAGGAAATGTTGATTTAATACTTTATTGCTACTTTTATTTTTTTAAATAAGATCTTTTAAATGCATATAATATTTTAAATCTTTAAACTTTCTTTTCAGATAAGACTTTACTATCTTGCGTGACAATCCCATTACAATAATGAAATTGCCATATGTTAATATTTTCTATTTATTGAAATAAAAGAAATAAAACTAATAATAAAACTCAAACTAAATATGGTTTAAAGCATTCCTTGGTATGCATTTCATGTAATAATTTAAATGTTTAAAATATCTTACCTGTTATATTGGATGACAAAGATCCTGTCTATGCGTTGTAGATCAAACAAGATATGCAAATATCAGATTTTCCTCTTATTTATCCCTACATATATACGCTAGAAAAAATTAGTTTTTTGGGTCGTCAATATTTTGAGTTCATTATAAAGAAAATCACCTTAATAGTGTTTTCCGACATCAATTCACTATCAGGTAATAACTGAATTACACTGATAGTGAAAAATTTTAATTAAAAAGATGCTGCATATCAAAATAATTCAGTTAAATATCTATATCGCTATCATCTAAATGTAAATTAAGAATCAATAAGATTATTTTATTTAAAATCAGTTAAGAAATACAAAATCATAATAACTATACCCGACAAATGATAAAAAAAAGAAATGCATTTATGGCATTAATATATAATTCATTATGCATATTAATTTTATTATAACGCTTAATTTTAATTAAATTTCAAATATATTTATTTAATTATTATCATCAAAATTTTTATCGATTCATTTTTAATTTTATATAAATTATTATAACAAATACTATTATACTCCATATATAATGCATTAACAAAGTTATCATAATTATAAGCTAAAACTTTCTTTATAAAATAAGTAAAATTCTCTTACATCTAATATTATCATAAGCTTTTAATATTATATAGGATAGATATAATTAAGAAATAGTATAGAAAATAGTTTTCAACTA